CCTGCCCACAGAAGCTGTGGCTGCCCCCTCCCTGGAAGTGTTCAAGGCCAGGTTGGACAGGGCTTTGAGCAACCTGGTCTGGTGGAAGCTGTCCACGCCCACGACGGAGGAGCTGGAACCATCTATAAGGTCCCTTCCAACCCAAACCATTCTATGATTAATTTTCAAACACTTTAATATAAACAAGGAATGTTACCTTTGTTATAAAAACGCTAGTAATGCTTTCTGGATTATCTCCTTCTGGGTTTGGGGGTCCCAACAGCTGTTCACCTTCTCCCTTTTCAAAACTGTACAAGAAAGCAGGATTCAGGACATGTTGCAGCACCTACAGAATATAAATAAATAAAAAAAACCAGTTACACTCAACTCTTGGATTCTTCTACTGGCAATCAACATTCAAGTAATTTCACATACAAACTTGCATGTAGACACACTCACTGATTACAAAAGGAAGCTATAAACACAACTTAAGACACAGGATACACACGAATTTTTCCCACTCCTTTTCCCTCGTCCAAGGGTAAAGATTCTTAAAAAGTGTAAACTGAAGTAGTCAGTACTGAAAGCAAGATGAATTGCTGTCTCTGTTTATTATCGCTCTTCTTCAGGTATGATATTTTCACCTAAATGGCTCTGCCAATTATCACACTCGTTGACATTTAAGTAAGCGAGTTTTGTTGCCCTCGTTCCCAAGAAGAAAATTAAACCTAAATACCAGGCTTCTTTGATTTAATGGCTTTCGTTACCTTGGCTTTGAGCTCATCTCCAAAGTTTGGGTCATTGAAGTCTACAAACCGGAAGAACAAAGCCCGTTTTTGGGAAATACTGTAGTTTTTTGGGATCTCTTCTTCCATGTATTCCTTTAAGAATGTCATATTGCAGAGAAATCGACCCGTAAAAGCCCGAAGCAACTGGAAGAGCAACTCTATATCACCATAATTCCTTCTGTAAAAACACATAAAACAAAAGCTTCTTTGAAAAAAAAATACCCAATCAAACTACTATGCTGATGACTTGGTGAAGAAACTAATCTTGGTTTTAAATGAGCAGAGTGCCAAGCGCAGGCAGTACCACAGGCATGGTTTTAGAGCTATGGCAATACTATGAAACACATTAAACTTTCTCTTCAATACCTGCAAACCCTTTCTAGTATGCCTGTATACCTCCACCGTATTTTTCAAAACTTTGAAAACAATTGTACACAAGCTATAGGAAATAAATGTTTTTACGTACTTGCAGTAATTCAGTAAGCAATACGCTAATAGCTTAGGTTCTTTCCAGTTTGTTGCAGCCATATTTTCCTTACGATGTCTCTCCTGAAAAGCTTCACTCACCCATACACGTTTCAGCTGATTCACCAAGGAATGTTGATTTGCTAACCAACACTCATCATTTTTCACAATGATACTTATGATCTGTCAAAAGCAAAACAAGACAAATGCACATTCAACATGCAACAGACCTGTCAGCAGAAACAATAAAAGTACTTCTCTGAAGTCAATTAAGCGTTCTAAAATATTTTTTTAAAAGTCAAATAAAACTAGCTTAGATCAATTTTTAAAGGATTTTTTTTTAAAAAAAGTTTGTTGCCATGTTTTCCTTTTGTACCTTACTTATCAAAAAAAGTATAGTTTGAGTCTCTTTTCCCTTCCTAGAGTGACTGTAACTAAAAACACTTTATATTTTTACAAGTGGTTTTCTATAATAATACATACCCAGACACTTGAAAGCCTGTATGTAACTGGACTGTACCTAAAGAGGTTTTAGCTGCCTAGTGAAGAGACAAACAAGAATAAATTAATACCTTGATAGCCTGAAACTGAAGATCGAGACGCATTGTGGTAGTGCTTGGAGAACCAGGTCTAACAGCTGCTTGGGTACCAACAGGTAACAGTAGAGTGATAAATCGGTTGGGATTCGCTGCCAGTACATCTCGTAGAGGTTTGGCATCTTTATGTTTTAAGAAACTCTGAAGAAGGGGAAGAAATAATTTTAATGACAACCTTTAAAAGCAAAAATACCAAAAGGCTCTATCATCCTGTAGCTTCTACATTCCTCACTGAAGTTGAACAGGTTCTATTTGACATATATAATCTCTACAACTTCAGTAATAATTCTGTATGTTCTGGAAAGGTATAAAATCAACATCTCAGGACAAACAAATACTAAGCAGAGAACAGGCACCCTATAGTCAGAGTAAGGCCATGATTAAGGACTACAAAGTTACGCAGGGCAAAAAAGATGGAAAAGATGAAAAACAACTCAATCATCAGGTTTGTGAAGATGAGGGCTTTTTCCTGTTCCCCTCCCCACACAGCTTACCATAAACATTCTGCTCCACTGTGGATCATTTAAAGTGGCTTCCATCATGAACAGCTCCACAGTCTGGGATGGATGACGTGTCAAAAATTTTATGAGTGGTTCCCTGAATGGACTGCCAGCCTAAAAGATTCATAAAGCTTAAATTAAAAACGCAAAGCGCAGAGCATTTTCTACTAATTTACTAGCACTCAGAAAAATACATTTGACTTGGCATTTGCGCGGATACAAAATGTTCAAAACTTCTACGATAATTTATTGACAGTTTCAAAATTTCACTTTTAAGAGCCTACGACAAATGTTAACACATCCTAAAAGGCTTGAAGATCATATTTATTTATTACATCAAATGTTCCCACACGTTTAAAATATTGTAATTATTATGTACTAATGTTTAAAAATACCATAAAGCAAAAATAGAAGCAATGTTAGCTTCCACTTTTACCTCAATTAACATTGCTCGTTCTGTTTTCATAACAACTTCCAGCAGAGGTTTAACCAAAGTCTGAGGGGCAGCTGGGATCAGATGGAATAAATTTATAATTGCTGAACAAATCTTCATTTCCTACAGGTAAAAAGAAACACGATTAAATTAATATTACCAGCTAAATATATAAAAGCAGTATCACACATCCTACCTTCCCCCCACCCCATATTAGCATAGCCAGCAACTAAATGCGAAGGGTTAGCATATATACAGCATCTACTTACCACGATGTATGGAGAAAATTGCTCTTGTGGAAGTCTGCCCTTCCCCCCTTGTAATATTGTGGTTTAATTTTATTTTCTTTGTCAGTATAGTGGTGTTTTACAGGTAAGAGCTAAACACTGTATAATGATAATGGTGATGGGGGAGTTACAGAGCACTCACTGCACTACAAGTGGCTCATGCATCAAAAAGCAGACCTTCCTTTCTAAACGATTTCTCATATACACCCCACAACCCCAGACTAGACATCAAGAAAAAAGACAGACAGCTTTCTCACAGTACTGTTCAGTATATCATCTTGCAAACAGCTGGTTATTTTAAAGAATTCAGCTCTGTTCTCCCACTAGATATTAAATTGTTCTGAAGTCCAAAATAATTTTGGATTTTAATTTCATTGTGTAATTTAAATGGGGACTACATTTCAAGTTAACCAGAGTGTGGATCTTCTTTAGGAAGAAACGGAAAAAAACAAAACATGAGCCCTCACCATCCCTCTAAAACCAATTTCTAGTATGAGGTATACAAACAAATATTATTAAGTACATTGCATTTCCTCCACTGAATTAGGCCCCACTCCTTTAATATGATCTGCCTGGACAGACCCCCACAAGACTACTCTCATGGGTTGAAGTGCAGGACTGAGAACACGTATAAAATCTTTTGAAAGCACTTATACCTTCACAGAAACTAAAAATCTTGCTCTTCCTAATACAAACATGCTTAACATCCTTAACAGCAATGTTATCAAAACAACTCTGCCACAGACAAACAGAAGACAATTCACAGCACTGCACTCAAAGGCACAATGCACTCTGCCCAGGACACAACAATAAACTAACAAATCACAGTTTAAAAGAAAGAAAGACAGAAAGAAAGACAGAAAGAAAGACAGAAAGAAAGACAGCAAGAAAGACAGAAAGAAAGACAGACAGACAGACAGACAGAAAGACAGACAGAAAGGCAGAC